GTGTTTTTTTTTTTTTTTTTTTGAGACGTCATCTCCTCTGTCACCAGGCTGGAGTGCAGTGGCGTGATCTCCGCTCACTGCAAGCTCTGCCTCCAGGTTCATGCCATTCTCCTGCCTCAGCCTCCCCGAGTAGCTACGACTACCAGGCCCCACCACCACGCCCAGCTAATTTTTTTTGTATTTTAGTAAGACGGGGTTTCACCGAGTTGCCAGGATGGTCTCCCTCTCCTGACCCAGTATCCACTTACCTTGGCCTCCCTAAGTGCTGGATTACAGCGTCGAGCCACCGTGCCCCGGCCTATCAGGTGTTAAATGCATTTGGTTGACGTTACCATAATGAGGTTTATGGGGATGCAGCCATCATAGGACATGCGTAATAAAATGGGATGGCTGAGAGGCTGCAATTCCAAAAGGAAATAATTAATCCCCTGAACAACAAACAATAAAAGTGATGAAGGAAAGCGTGGAAAACCACTGAAAATCACAACACGCACAATTACAGAAGTTAGAAACCAGGCACATTAAAGAACAGACATGGGCCGGCGATGGTGGCTCATGCCTGTAGTTCCCGAGCTGAGATTGCGCCACTGTACTCCAAGCCTGGGCGACAGAGCGAGACTCTGTCTCAAAGAAAAAGAAATGGATGAAAATTCTATTAATAGAGAGGTGGCTGGATGGATATGGAACCACAATAGATGCAGAAGCAAAATAAAATAATTAGAAGATAATAGGTAAGTTATTCAATTGTAAAGGCAATAGACAGGCATTGTGAACATCACCTCAAGGAATAGGGACCTATGTGCCTTTCCTGACAAATTTGCTTCTTAATTAAATCCAGACATTCAAAAAAAAAGAATGAAAATAGCACACTTTAAAATGCAAACAAAAACCCTAAAAACAAAAACACTTATGTTAGAAAACAGTAATGTTGGAGAGAAAGAATTGTGTGCCCAGCTAAGTTGCCCTTGAAATGGGTACAAAGGTAATGGACCGGCATGCTCAAACCTGCAAGAACTTGGGGAATACTGTGCAGTTCTAGTTTTACCTTAGCTTAAAGTAAATTAAGTTTATTAGATAATGACATATAGTATGCCATCATACTATGTCATTAATATTAAACAATTTACTATATGACATAGCATTCTATGTCATCTAGTAAATATTAAACATTAAATACATGTGTATTCTAGAATATATATTTAATATATTTAATAATCTACATTTAATAAACACATGTTTTATATCTATATTCTACAAACCTCTGTGTATATGTATAGTAAAATCCCAGACACTATAATATATAATACACATAGATTTCTAAAATAATGTTTATGATTACTTTTGGATAGATTTTGGGTGAACTTTTAACTTAATACTTTAATGCTTAATTTTATGAGTATTTATTACTTTTTTTTTTTTGAGACAGAGTCTCACTTCTACGCAAGCTGGAGTGCAGTGGCATGATCTCGGCTTGCTGCAGCCTCCACCTCCCGGGTACAAGCAATGCTCCTGCTTCAGCCTTCCAAGTAGCTGGGATTAAAGGTGCCTGCCACCCACACCCGGCTAATTTTTGTATTTTTAGTAGAGATGGGGGATTTCACTATGTTGGCCAGGCTGGTTTGGAACTTCTGACCTCAAGTGAGCCACCTGCCTCAGTTTCCCAAAGTGCTGGGATTGTAGGTGTGAGCCACTGTGCCCAGCTGAGCATTTGTTACTTTGATACACAATTTATTCTAAAAAGAAAGCTCTATAAAAGTCAAAATCCAAATAATAGCCACTGTGCTTATTGATCAAGTTATTGCAACATAAACTGGAATATTAGTGAAAAAGATATCTTAAAAAATAATAGGCCAGGCGCGGTGGCTCAAGGCTGTAATCCCAGCACTTTGGGAGGCCGAGATGGGCGGATCACGAGGTCAGGAGATCGAGACCATCCTGGCTAACACGGGGAAACCCCGTCTCTACTAAAAATACGAAAAACTAGCGGCGACGGTGGCGGCGCCTGTCAGTGCCAGCTACTTCGGGGAAGGCCTGAGGCAGGAGAATGGCATGAACCCCGGGAGGCCCAGAGCTTGCAGTGAGCCGAGATCCGCCTACTGCACTTCCAGCCTGGGCGACAGAGTGAGACTCCGTCTCAAAAAAACAAAAAAATAATAATAACAGGCTTCTGCTTCAGTAATAGCAGGATAGATCATTTGGATCTAATCTCCCAGTGAGGACAATTAAAGAATCTAGAGGAAATTTTTTTTTCTTTTTGAGATGGAGTCCTCGTTCTTGCCCAGGCTGAAGTGCAGTGGGCCATCTCGGCTGACTGCAAGCTCCGCCTCCTGGGTTCACAACATTCTCCTGCCTCAGCCTCCCAATTAGCTGGGACTACAGGGCACCCGCCACCATGCCCGGTTAATTTTTTTTGTATTTTAGTAGAGACGGGCTTCACTCACCGTGTTAGCCAGGTAGTCCTCGATCCCCTGACCTCGTGATCCGCCTGCCTCAGCTCCCAAAGGCTGGGATTACAGGCGTGAGCCACACTCCCGGCCGACAAAATGTTTTTAATTGTCAAAGAGCTACAAAGAAATAATGATTTATTGGCCAAAATATATCATCATTATTTTATGAGACAGAGTCTTGCTCTGTCCGCCCAGGGCTGGAGTACACAATCTTGGCTCACTGCAACCTCTGCCTCCCGGGTTCAAGCAGTTCTGCCTCAGCCTCCCGAGTAGCTGGGATCATAGGTGTGTGCTCCCACGCCCTGCTGATTTTTGGTATTTTTTTAGTAGAGACAGGGTTTCACCATGTTGGCCAGGCTGGTCTTGAACTCCTGACCTCAGGTGATCTGCCCACATTGGCCTCCCAAAGTGCTGGGGTTACAGGCGCGAGCCACTGTGCCTGGCCCATTATTTTATCTATAGAAATAGAGTCCAGGAGGCTGGGCGTGGTGGCTTATGCCTGTAGTTCCAGCACTTTGGGAGGCCGAGGAGAGTGGATCACCTGTGGTCAAAAGTTCAAGACCAGCCTGGCCAACATGGTGAAACCCCGTCTCTACTAAAAATACAAAAATCAGCCAGGCGTGGTGGCGGGTTCTTGTAATCCCAGCTACTTGGGAGGCTGACACAGGAGAAACCCTTGAACTCGGGAGGTGGAGGTTGCAGTGAGCTGAGATCATGCAGCATGGGTGACAGAGCAAGACTTCACCTCAAAAAACAAAACAAAACAAAACAAAAAGGTGCAGGAAAAGGCAACAAACTGAAGAGGAGACCAGCAAGCAGAACTACATTGGCTTGAGGCAAGGGTGCCACTCACATATTTGGCAACCTCAGTATGCAGACAATTACAAAAAAAGAAAGTCCCCTGTGGGCAGATAATATTTGTTTATTTATTTATTTGAGACAAGGTCTCTGTCACCCAGGCTGGAGTGCAGTGGTGCAATCACAGCTCAGCAGATAATTTTTAAAAGGCCTTTCTTCTTCCAGCATATGGCTTGGGACATAGAGCAGGGATCTGTATTTCTGACCCCACTTAACTTCTTTAGTTGGGTCTCTTTGTACAGGGTCCCACTTTGAAGTCATTTGCAGAGCCAAAAGCAGCAACCAAGAAATGGCGCTATGGTTTTGGCAAATTCCCAAGGTAAGAGGGACAGAAGTTAAAGACCAGGGCTTGCCAAAGGAGTCGGATAGTCCCAAACACATTAAGCTGGGACTGCAGAGGGCTATATACACAAAGTAAGGATGACCTAGAAGGAAATATACTGTGCTCGTGACTCTTGGGTGATTCAAGGAATCCCAAGCCCACCACTTGAGTTAGGAGGATTCCAGACTGGGAGTGTCTCCAGGCATCTGACCAAAGCAAATTAGGAGGATATATTCACCCCAGCCTTTAAATTATTCCTACAAATAGTTTTTCAAATGCCTTATCAGTGAATAAAGATAACCAGG